AAAAAAAAAAGAGTGGTATCAAGCTGGAAAAATTCTATTTCAGAATTTCCATGGGAGATCTTTTAAATGTGCTCGTTCTTCCCATCTCCCAGAAAATTCTGATTTGAAGGATATAACAGTAAGGGATCTGTTCTTAGGAATGTCACTGAAATAAATCTTTCCCATCCATATCCCTCCCTGGTAGAGAATTTGCTGGAGCAGCAGGGAGAAGTGCAAAGAAGGTAGCAGTCACTGAGGACAGCCTTGTTGCTCTTTAAACAAAACGGGTATGACTTGTAGGATATATCTTATTTTAGCTTTCTCAGGATACTTTCAAATATAACTCATATCCCAGGTTTGTCCTGTCCCATAGGAATCTTTTAGTTTCTACCTCATTACCCTGATCACTAAAAACTTTATTTTTTTCTGAGCTGTACATCACTAGTTTGACTCAAAATGTTCTTCTAAAGAAAGAGCATAAGAGGTTTCTTCTTTCTTTAAATGGTCCTTTGACACAAGTCCTCTTCATTGTCAATTCTTGAATGAGGGATTTGTCAATGCTTCAACCATGCCATCACTATGGGCTTTCAGTACAGTTCTACAAATCTAATCTAGCAAAGGATGTGACTATAGGCACTGAGGCTAAAATTTAATAATGATTGTCATTTGTTGATGTCTACAAATGGCCACGAATATATAATTTCACCAACAAACACTATGAGACCAGTATTACTATCTCCCTTGTTTTACAGATGAGTAAACTAAGTGATTTTCCCATGTATCAAGCACCAAATAGATGACTGAGGACATTCTGGACAGAGCCATAGATCTCAGCAATTATTAGACTGAACTTGGGCTACCTCATGTACCCTTAGTAGTCATGGTCTTATTTACTCACCAGATAGAACCTATTTTGGCAAGTACCTTAAAGCCGGGTCAAGGGCCTTGCCAAATCTGTGCCCACATTCTAAGAATACCCCCACTGATCATCAGTGAAAGGCAGGGTCCTGTTCATTGAGTTAATTTCTCAACTTGAGAGTATCTGTAGTTAAACTGTAGCTTTGCCGCTGGAGAAACATAGACCCAGGAGTCATACTGTCCATGTTCAAATCCTGCCCTGACACTTGTTAGCTTTATGACTCTGTATCTCTATGCCTCAGTTTTCTGTCTGATAAAAAGACAGTAACTATGGTGCCTCTTAGGTTTCTTGTGGGGATTGAATGTGTTTTTACATGTACAGTATTTATAAAGTACTCAACACAGAGTATGCTTTCAATGAGCACTGTTTTTAGTATTTTTATCTATTGAAATTAATCTATTTGCATCTTATTTGGACATCACACTAGTCATGTCCTTTTTCTGAAGAACACTTTTTTTTAAAGATTTTTTTATTTATTCATTCGAGACACAGAGATACAGAGAGAGAAGGAGAGAGAGAGAGAGCATGAGCAGGGGGAGAAGCAGACTCCCTGCTGAGCAGGGAGCGGGGCTCGATCCCAGGACCCTAGGATCATGACCTGAGCCAAAGGCAGACGCTTAACCATCTGAGCCACCCAGGCACCCCTGAAGAACATGCTTTTTAAGGTGGACCTGTGAGTCCAGTGACACTTGAGGCAGCATCAAAGACAGCCTCCCTTCCAGGGCTCACAAAATCAAACCTTCACCAAGCTACAAAGGAAAACTCTATCTCTACATTTCTCCTCCAAGCATTACTGTGCCTTCTGGCTCATAAGTCAGAGCATCTGAATGAGGGAAACTTTCTCCCTGGCTCAGTCTCTCTCCTTTTCTCTCACTCTCTCAAACAAACACACAGAATTTCTTATAAGATCTTTCTATATCGCAGTCTCCTTTTTTATGTTTCCAAATTTTAAATTTAAAAGACTTACCTATGCTGGCAATTGTTCAGTGATGTTGATTAATGAGACTTATGCAAAAAAGGACAGTCTTACCGATGCACGTATCTATTTGGCAAGGCAGAAGTGATTTATAAAAAGACAGGCTGGTGACACTCGTATAAAGGCAGCTTTCGTGTGGCAAGTGTAAAGGCAAAAAGAAAACCTGCTACCAATTGAATGACAAAATCTTTTGCTATTTTAAGAGGAGAGTAAATGCCACCCGAGCTTCAACTCGAAGTCCACCTGTGGGGAATATGCCATCGCAGTTGGGGCGCCCAGGGTGAGCTTGTATTAACTGTTCTTGATCCCTGAAACTCAGCTTCAGGTTAGGTTGGCTGTTTTTTGTCTAATCAATATTTATGGGTCTGCCAGTCATGAACTTCTCTCAACTTCATTGAAGCTCTATACATTTTGTAGATTTTTTTTTTTTATCTAGATGACCCACTGAGCAAAGAGTATATAATATCAAGCTTCTTTTATTTATCCTAGAAGAATATATTTCACATTTTGTACGACATGTTCTAAGAAAACTAGACTTGAGAAATTGGACTTCACTCTTGGGCTTTCAGAACTATTTTCCAGTGCACTAGCCTCAATCATTATTGGTCTTGTTCCTGAGACTCAGTGTAGTTCAGCATAAACAAGAGTCCAGCTTTGTCTCCAGACCTTTCCCTGGCAATGCACAACCTATCAGACAGAATGGCTGTGGTGAATTGTCAAACCCTTTCAATGACTGCAGAACATCGTACACATTGCATGGAATGACTGCGCAAATGCTTCCACCTGTCACATCAGTTAAAAGTTCACTCTTGCATTCTTCCCACCTGTATGGGTCAAGATAGGCTTGATGCCATAGACTGAATGTTTAAGTCCCCCCATCATATGGTGGTTAACCACAGTTGCAGCAATTTACATCAACAAAGGTGATTTCCTGCTCAGGCTGCATGTTTGTAATGGGTCAGGTAAAGCTCTGTTCCATATCATCTTCACTCTTAGGGCCATGTTAATGGAATAACTTCTATCTTGAATCTTGCCTGTCTTGTGGTAGACGGAAAAGGAATCATACTAAAAACTATGAAAATGGCTTACTCAGAAGTGACACACATTTCTGCTCAAATTTCTTTAGCTGAAGCAAGGCATATAGTCAATATGTTCTAGTCAGTCAATAATCCTCCCTTAAGGAGGGAGGACCATTGGGAGGGAAAATGGAATCTTTTCTATGACAGAGAACTAACATGATCCCTCAGGTTATGATGAGAACACAAAGAAGCAGGAGTAAAGTTGCCACTAAAACATCCTAAAACTGGTCCTTTGGGTAAGATGTGTCTGTGTAGTGGACTGATTGGGGAAAACTACTTTGTGATGGAAATAAACACTGGAAATTTCTAGAAAAGAGGAGAGCAGCAGTACCTATTTACCACATGTTCATTATGTGTACAGGTTAAGAATTTTAGCAGAGCAGGAAAGAGATAATGAAGGGTTTAAACTGTTAGACCCTTGGAGACTCTTCCCAGAATAGTTTTTGTAGAGGACAACAGGCATCAACAAAATCAGAGAGCCTGAGCTCTGCTTGAAATGAACTCTCCCCCAGGCTGAGGATCAGCAAAGTCAAGGATGGCCTGCCTTTTGAGAAGGAAACTGCCCTGTATGGTGAGCAAGAGATAGGACTGTGCATGGCACTGATTGGGGGAAATGTTTTTCAGTGAACAGAAGCACCAGACATTTCCATGTAGAATGGAAATTCCCTTTCCTCCCAAAAAGGAAAGCAGCAGCTGAGAGTGGGTGAATGTGAATTGCAGAGAAAGAAGAACAGAGAACACTAAGAAATGGAAAAAATAAAGGAAATTGAGAAGCTTAAGTTGAGGAGGGGGAAGGAAATTGCAGGTGGGATGAAGGCAGCAGACAGAACAAAGCCTGGATAAGAACTGGAAGATGATAAAGAATCAGGTGAAGGAGAGATTTTACTAAAAAAGGTTGGCAGTGCTAAAAAGGGGATTATGAGAAGTAGTGAGAATAGCAGCCTTACTTTCTCAAGTCAACAAAATCTTCAGATTTTTGGCAGGCTCTGTACAGGTCCTGAGAATGGAAAGTTGAATAATGCACAGACCCTTACCTCCAGAAGCTTATATTGTAATATGGATGATGGTCAATAAATAGAAAAAGTCAATATTGTGTGATTAAGTACAAACAGAATTAAATTCAAGATGGTAATAGAACACAGGAGAATGGCATCTAGGCAAAGAGAGACAAAAGTAATGGAGGAAAATCAAGAGAGATTTCCTGGGATGGTAATACTTGACTATCATATTGAAGGATAAATAAGACGACTATATGAGGAAAAGTTAGAAAATTTGCACCTCTTTGCATGGCAAAGAGCAGATGCAAGTGCATAGAGGTATCAGAGCCATTGAATGGAAGGCCATATTCAGGGAACTCAGCACAAGATGTGTTGTGTGGCTGAAGCTGAGTGGAGAACACTCAAATGTGAATCACAGGCTGGGGTCCTTGTGTCAGCTCTGCCACTAATAAGCTGAAAATTGAGCGAAGATTCAACTTCTCTGGGCCTCAGTTTATTTCCGGGGAAAAATGATGGTGTTGAAGGATTTGGTGTCTAAGACCCCCTTGATACCAGACATTATAAAAGGTCAAAGTCAAGAATTTTCAGTGGAGGGCTAGACATCTGCAGCACTTATTAATTAGCTGTTAGAGCAAAGGCATTATGAGGAGAGATATTAAGTCCTGAAGAAGGAAGCTCAAAGGTTGTTCAGGTCATTTATTGTTTTAACTCCAACTTCCCACATTCAGTATCCCTTCTGCTCCCTTCCTGATAGAATTATGTTTGAAAGCTCATTACCACTGGGGGCAGGCTTTTTAAATACAGGACATTTTGATGTCTGGAAATGCTCCTTAGACTGTGCTGAAAGATCATAGATGAGGCATGACAGCCCCTGGGGCATCTCCAAACTCCCCTGCAGGTGCTTGAGAGATGTCATTGATTGCAGAGAACAGGTGCACTGGACATTTCCACCCAGAAGAAAGAAGGTGCAGCAAGAGTGAGCAAACATGGATTGCAGAGAGGAGAGGAAGAATGTTAGGAAGTGGAAAAAGAAAGGAAGTTGAGAATCTGAGGTTGAAGAAAGAAGAGAGGACACCGATTAAGGTAAGGGTAGCAGAGAGAATAAAGCTAGAGAAAGGGTGGATGAAAAGGAACCAAGGTGAAGGAGAATGTATTTTTCACCCATAAAGTTCAGTAATGCTTTTAGAATTGCAAATATGCATTTAAATTTAATAATACAATTATGGTATATTAAATGTCAAATGACTGTTACAGAAAAGCACTTAAAATTAATACATATGCATGAGATAAATCCTGTCTAGTTGTCAAGGTCTGAATTCAAAGTTACATAAGCCAGGCTTTTGCACTGAATTTTCTTACAGCTTAAGGTTGCAAAGATCTATGAATTTCATTGGTATTTAACAAAGAAGCCTCAGCAAAGCTTAGAACCAAAAGATGGGTGTCCAGTGAACAGCCAAGCCCAAATGCTATTAAAATCAAAGTAAAATTGAAGGCAATGATGATCTTCATCACTTGTCATCACCATCACGATTGACAAATTCACCATCACGATTGACAAATGGTTATTGAGGTCCCTAAGTATAGCTCTTTATTACCAAGGAGTCACTCTTTCCTTCCTTCCTTAAAAAAAATACCATGTTAACTATATAAATAATATATAATTAATAATATAAACAATAATTATATTATATATTTATATATTACTAATCATATATTATTAATTATATATTAATATATAATTTATAAATATATATTCAGGAAAGTTGTCACCAACAATATCCCTCCACCAATTCTACTTTTCAGAAGTAACTAATTTGAGAGCTTCTGAACCTTTTTCTTTTTTTAAAAAAAAAGATTTTATTTATATATTTCAGTGAGAGAGGGAGAAGCAGGCTTCCTGCGGAGCAGGGAGCCCGATGTGGGGCTCGATCCCAGGACCCTGGGATCATGACCTGAGCCGAAGGCAGACGCTTAACGACTGAGCCACCCAGGTGCCCCTGAACCTTTTTCTTCACAGAAATCTTTTTCAAAGAATTTGTGGAATACTTCTAGAGGACCCATAATTTTGTTAAGAAGCTAATAATGGACAGTGGAAGACACAACAAGCATACTTCACACACATGTATTCTGTGCACAATGGGGTTCTGTGAGAGGGTCATCACATCCCCATGATTGGAGACTCTTGGAAAATATCCCTCCTGGGCTTATTCTTTTTTTGGAGTAACTCAGTTCCTCACAGTTGTGGGGCTATGTCCCTATTTCCTTCCCAGTTGCCAACAGGGGGCTGCTTTCAATCCCTGAATGACACCTATATTCCTTGATACATGATCCCCTTTATCTCCTTATCTAAGGTAAACTGTGCTGTGTACACAAGGAGAGTGAGTAGAAAATCTTGGAGGCCACCTTAGAATTCTGCCTACCACAAACCTTCTTTTGACTTTGCAACCAATACAAAATAAAATACAGGAAATGATGAAGCTGATTACAGAATGTGATCTTTGGACTGTGACAGAATGGGCTTACAGATATTCCCTTACCAAATTAACCACTTTACTTTCCCCATCCCTGACAACATGTACAATTTCAGGCCTCCCCAGGACAGGAAGATACTGACTTAATGAACATACCTCATGGCAGAAGAATAATCCAGAATGCACTTTCTGTGTAGCCAGGCAAATCTGAGAAAAACAAAAGTGAGAGTTGGGACTGAATCATTCTGCTCCCTGAAATAGTTCATGTATTCCTCCATGTTCTCTCTTTCATCATAATTGAGCAGAGCAAGAGGGAAGAATCAGAAAATGGAAGAAGTATGAATTGCCAAGTCCAATCTGACCCACAGTGGGCTTTTTGTGAGTAAAGATTGAACTTTTTTTTTTTTTGCATTCAGCCACTAAGATTTGGGGTAGTTTGTTATAGTAGCCAACAGTGAGTTCTCTGACAAACAGCCAAAAGATTCTTTATAAACTTAGCATACTTGACCAGTCTTATCTCCCGTCATACAGCCCATATGTTTTCATTAATGTTGTTACCTTAATCATCACCTGAAAAATATTCAGCCAGTGAGTGACACCTGGAATGTTGTTTCTCCCCATTCTCCTTATTATCTCTTTCTGTATGTATCATTCAGAATCAAAATGCAGTATAATTGTAATAGCGTTGTGTGGTGATAGATGGTATCTACGTTGGGGTGGGCATAGCATAATGAATAGAGTTGCCAAATCACTATGTTATATACCTGAACCTAATGTAAAATTCTGCATCAACTATACTTCAATTAAAAAAAAATGCAATACCTGGGGCCCCTGGATGGCTCAGTTGTTAAATGTCTGACTCTTAATTTTGGCTCAGGTCATGATCTCAGAGTTGTGGGATTGAGCCCTGTGTCAGGCTCTGCACACTGGGTGTGGATCCTGCTTGAGATTCTCTCTCCCTCTCCCTCTCCCCACACTCTCCCTCAAAAAAAAAAAAAAATGCAATACCGTTAAAAAAAAAATCCCACTTTTTAAAAATTACCTGACAAAAAAAATTGTTTCCAAGTATTAAAATATACCATAAATCAGTGTTAAAATATATGAAAAAAATGGACAAATAAAAAGAATATAATCTTTAACATCTGAATATATATCAAAATTTAGTATATGGCAATAATAGACATTTCAAATCAGTGAGTAAAAATAATACAGTTAACACATTACGTTGAAAATAGCCATTTGGGTAAGGAATGAGATATGGATCATTTTCATCATTATAACTAAGTATTTAAATACAAGATTAAACATAAAATTACCAGGAGTGAATAGGTACCTGGCTTATTTAAATCTTAGCATAGAGAAGACCTTCCTAAGCATAATTCCAACACAGAATAGAGAAATGATAATTCACAAAGACTTCATGAATCATTAGAAAAAATTAAAAATCTAATAGCAAAATAGTCAAGATACAAGAAAAGCAAAGCACAGATTAAAATGGTCCCAAAACATGTGAAAATATTTTCTTCATTTCATCTGAATTTAAACTTCATGAAGGCAGGATTCTTTTCAAGTCTGTTTATCAAGATACCCTAACAACTTAGTTTTTAGTCCCTGGTAAGCATTAATTTGATAAGTAAATGAATATATGAATCAATCAATAATTAAATAAATATAAGTCTGTGGCTATTTTTGTTTTTACTCATTAGGTTAACTTTACTAAAAGATCTGTTGATATACAATGCCAACTTAAACTTTCTGAATAAGAATTTCCAAAACCCTTTTACAAATAGGAGTCATATAGGAAACAATTAACAGAATAAATAATCTAACAACATAAATATTTGTTTTATAAACTTGGGTAAATATGAAAAAAAAATCATACTTTTAAACACATCTGTGTATGGTATATGGAAGCAACAAAAACTAGATGAACTAGAATTCCAGAATGAGAACTACCTCTAAATAAACTATTACCAATTGCCTTTCATTTTGTTCCTTGGGGGATTTATCAAATCTGGGCATGTATTGAGCCAAAGAAGGGACAATACTATGGGAAAGAGTAATTAGCAAAGCTTTTAGTGGTGCTACAGGAATAGAAAACTATATTGGGTATTACTTTTGACCTAAGTGTCCTTTGGTTTTGTAATTTCAATTATACATGTATTGCAAAAGCAATATCTAAAGCCATATCATTTGATTATTTTCCAAAAATACTGAAAGACATCAACCCACAGATTCAATAAGCTCTGAGAAACCCAAGTAGAATAAATGTAGAGAAAACCACATGTTGGAACACTATAGTAAAGTTTCTAGAAACCAAAGTCAAACTCATATATGTTCAGCAGAAGACAAGCATCCAAATGTTCAGATCTACAGTATCTGAAATAGACAACATTGAAAACTACCTAACTGGGGCACCTGGGTGGCTCAGTTGGTTAAGCAACTGCCTTTGGCTTGGGTCATGATCCTGGAGTCCCTGGATCGAGTCCCACATCGGGCTCCCTGCTCAGCAGGGAGTCTGCTTCTCCCTCTGACCCTCCCCCATCTCATGCTCTCTTTCTCTCTCTCTCATTCTCTCTCTCAAATAAATAAATAAATAAAATCTTAAAAAAAAAAAAAAACTACCTAACTGACCTTGAGCAGCATAATGGAATACTATAAAGCAATGAGAGTGAACTATACATAATAATAAATATTGATACGACCTATAAACAGTGTTCAACAAAAGTATCCAGTCACAAAGGAATATATATGATCCCATTTATAAATACTATAAAGTTGTCAAAACTAATTAGACACAGGTTTTATTTTCAGAGAAGTAGTGACTAAATGGATATCTGGGTTGCTGGTAATGTTCTTAATCTCATACTGTTGATACAGATTGTTTAGCTCAGAAAATTCAGACAGTACATGTATGAAATACACATTTCTGTATGTGTATTATACTTCCATAAAATGCTTTAAAAATAATTCTGGGAATTGGAAAAGTCCAATTTTTGACCATAGGAATAGATAGCAGAATTAGAATAGAGGTAAAGTTCATTGGAGTTGAGAATTTCAAGAATATAAGCAGCCAAATGTTGGATACACTGTTTAAATGGACATTGGCTCCTCCACATAAGGGCAGAACTTGAGAAAGCCTGTAAGCCAGCTGTTAAAATGAATAGAGTGGAATGAAGAGGTTGGAATGCAGTATTCCTGAAAATATTCATAGGGTAGCTTTGGGCAAAGAGTAAGAGCTTTGAACAGGACAGTGAAAAGTAAAGATTTGGAATTAGAAATATGGAATAAAAAGAGACCCCATCTTCCCAAAACATGACAAATGGGTTGTGATAAATAAAGATCCCTCACTTTGGAAGAAGGGAGGTCAAACAAAAGACTCAAGATAGAGCTATATTTTTGTTAGAGTATGAACCAGAGGTGACATGTAGAAACACACTTAGGAATATAGGAAATACTTTGTATCATAAGAAATGGGCTCCAGAGACTATGCTAGAAAGATTTGAGAGGGAAAGGAGTAAAAGGTAGTATGTAGGGTTAGAGGTGAGAGACAAGGATACAGAAAGAATGAATAAACAGAGGAGCCAAAATATTAGATGTTACCAAGGATAACAAGCTTCTGAGGATATCTCAAGCCATGTGAATCTAACCTTGATTATTCAGTTTGTGGCATATACTTTTCAAAGTACTTGGAGATAGTGACATATGCTGATAGTGGTATGTGTGGGGAATGAGATGGCAAAGTGGTGCCTTCTCTTCATACTATAGCTCCAACCTTATATTAAACTTAAAAGAGGGGTACCTGGGTGGCTCAGTCAGTTAAGTGTCTGACTCTTGATCTCCGCCCAGGTCTTGATCTCAGGGTCATGAATTCAAGCTCTGCCACAACTGGGCTCCACACTGTGTGTGGAGTCTACTAAAAACAAACAAAACACAACAAAACAAAAACGACCTTAAAAGACCTCAATAACTTTGATCTGGTATGATAGATGCATTGGAGATAACTTACTCCAAGCATGCATAATATAAGAACCCTTCTATAACATCCTTGAAAAGAAATCCTCTACTCTCTCCTTTAATACCCCAAGCAATGGAGAATTGACTGCTTCATGCAATTTTTCTCTTCAAATAATTCCAATTATTAGAAAGTTCTTCCTGGGGCATCTGGGTGGCTAAATCCATTCAGTGTCCGACTCTTGGTTTTGGCTCAGGTCATGATCTCAGGGTTATGGAATCAAGCCCCATGTCGGGCTCCATGATCAGCAATGGAGCCTGCTTGTCCCTCTCCCTCTGCTCCTCCCCCTGCTCTCTCTCTCATAAATAAAAAAAGAAATAAAATCTTAAAAAAAAAAGTTCTTCCTAATCTTGAGTCCACATCTGCCTCCATGTCATTCCCATATATTAGTTTTGGTTCTGCCTGCTGGAGCCAAACAGAGCAAACCTGCTTCCTGTTTCACATGACAGCACATCAAATATTTATTGACAGTTTGCATGTCACCAGTGTTTTCTCCAGGCCAAACTCCCTTAGGTCCTAACTGTCTCAGAATCAATGGACTATGGCAACACAGATGATGTATCGTTCATTTCCAAACTACTAACACCTGTTTCAGATACTAAATGGTAGCAAAATAAAGAAAACCCTGGTCAGCATTTACACCTGGGGTTCCACTGGCATACTGTATATGGAAAATTAAATGATTCATCTTCAAAGTTATACAACTTTACAGTGGCCTCCAATACCCCCAGTGGATGCATGAAACTGTGGATAGTATTGAATCCTATGTATAGTATGTTTTTTCCTGTACATGCATACCTATGATAAAGTTTAATTTATAAATTAGGCATAGTAAGAGATTAACAACAACAGCTAATTATAAAATAGAACAATTGTAAAAATATGCTGTAATAAAAGTTATGCAAACATGGTCTCCTTCTCTCTCAAAATATTTTATGGTATGTACTCACCCTTCTTATGATGATGATGATGATGTGAGATGATAAAATTCCTATATGATGATATAAAGTAAGGTGAAGGACATAGGCACTATAATAAAGCATTAGGCTACTACTGACTTTCTGATAGGACAGAGCAAGGATCATCTAATTCCAGACTGCAGTTGACTAAAAGTAACTGAAACTATGCAAAACATAGTGTGGATAAGTGGGGACTACTCTATTGATAAATGCCTGCTCCACTTCTATTATTCAAATAGAAAATATACTATACACTACAGGTGCATATTGGTTTTAAAGAATCACAATTACAGTTTCATGGTTGATAAGTACCAGTTATAAAACACTGATTTTATGAGAATTGTAGGTCAAATGAACTGAACCATGAAATAGCAAATGTGTCTTAAGATAATATTCTGTCACAA